ACACAAGAAAGACATCCGGTAGCATACGAGAGTCGAAAGTTAAACCAAACAAGAAGTCGTTACATAGGCACATGAAAATGAATTGTTGGCAGTAGTCCATTGTCTCAGAGGATGGCGTCACTATTTGCTTGGGTCTTCATTTTTTGTGAAGATAGATAACACTGTGGTTAGTCACTTCATGTCCCAACCAAAACTATCGACCAAGCAGGCTCGTTGGCATGAATTTCTTTCAGAGTTCAATTTTATGCTGGAGTATCGTCATGGATGTAGTAATCATGTTGCTAATGCTCTTAGTCAACAGGCGAATTTGGCTGCCATTTGTTCCATGGCTGCTCTTTCAAGGAGCGCCGTCACCACGAACACAAGAGACCATATTCGAACACTTATGGAGAAGGACCCGACTACTCAATATTTGGTCCACCTCATTAAGTAGGTTAAAACTCGACGGTTTTGACTCGATGGGAAACTAGTGAAGACAAAGGGAGACCAACTACATGTTCCTAAGGGCGGAGATTTGAGAAAATCACTAATTACAGAATGCCATGACACGATTTGGGTAGGGCATCCTGAAAAAGAACGCACTTGTGCACTACTGCAACGTGCATACTACTGACCTCAAATGCGGGACGACATTGCAACCTATGTAAAAACCTGTCTAATTTGTCAGCAAGATAATGCAGATGATCAAAAAAGGCGGGCTTGTTGGAGCCCCTTTCCGTCCCAACCCGACCATTCGAAAGTGTATTGATGGACTAATTATTGGGTTGCCAAAAGTTGAGGATTTTGACACTATCATCGTCGTGGTGGACCGTCTATCAAAATACACAACTTTCATTGCAACGCCTAAGTATGTATCCGCGAAAGAGACGGCTCAACTCTTCTTCAAACATATTGTCAAATACTTGGGACTGCCTAAGGACATCGTCAGTGATCGAGATCCTCGTTTCACTGGCATATTTTGGACTGAGTTGTTCAAACTTCTTGGTTCAAATTTGAGTATGAGTTCTAGTTTTCACCCACAATCTGATGGACAGACAGAGCGCTTCAATACTATGCTAGAAGAATATCTTCGGCACTTTATCTCCACTTCGTAGAAAAACTGGATAAAACTTTTGGATGCGGCTCAGATTTGCTTCAATGCCCAAAAAAGCTCTTCCACCAATAAAAATATTTTTGAGATTGTTACTGGCCAGCAACCGCTACTCCCTCATACAGTGGATATCGAACAAAGTACCAAGTCTTCTCAAGCGAAGAATTTTTCTCAAGAGTGGAAACAAAATATTGAAATTGCTCAGAGTTATCTTGAGAAAGTTCAAAAACGTTATAAAAAGTTTGCAGATCTAAAGCGCGGTTCTTTGAATTCAATGTTGGAGATCTTGTAATGGTTAAACTTCCTGACAGAAATATTTACAAACCGACAAGAGAGAAGGACTCAAGACTGGCGCCAAAATATATTGAACCATTACTCATCGTGAAGAGGATTGGAAGAGTCGCATATATAGTTGAACTCCCTTCATTGTGTAAAATCCACAAGGTCCTTCATATTAGTGTGCTGAAGCCATACTTTGCAGAAAAGGAGGACGCATCTAGAAATGAGCCAAAGCGACCTTTGTTTGAACAAAGTTGGAAAGAAGGTTGATGAAACTATTCTTCACCATCGAATTACTCGAGCTTCTAGAAAAGATCATCAAGAGTACTTAGTCAAATGGATGGGATGCAGCAGCGAGGAGAATACTTGGGAAAGAGAAAAGGATCTTAGAACTTTCAAACCATTAATTGAAGCATATCATGCATTGATGGCACCGAGAACGTGTCCAAAACAAATGGGGGAGAATGTCAAGGATCGCAGCTTTACTTAACCCCTTGACACTATGGCAGCCGCAGTTTGTCCAACTTTGGCCGCATATTGTAAATATTAGTTCAAGTTTGAGTTGTAATTTTCTTTTCATTGTAATAGTTATTTCAGTTGTAAAATAGCTCTGATATTAGTAAACGTTTATTATGATTTCTCGTCTTTTAAATGTTTACTTCTATCACTTAGGTTTTTCTTCTGAATGCTATTATGGGGGGTATTAGTCATTCAAAAATCTTTTAAGCTCACTGGTGTCCGCCCCCTGCACCAGCAATTATAATTTTCTGCTTTCGTCAATTGTAATATTCAACTTTCATTAATCAATGTTCAATTTACTTTCAATGTATTCAAAATTTCTGTTGTAAGCTTTCTACAAAATTGTAATCAAATTTTCTTTCGTCCCAACGCGATCGAGAAAAGGCAGAAGGTAGTCTAGCAGAGCAGATAACTGTCGCACAGTGTCCCTTTCTGTGCTAAGAAGAAAGGCACCCTGTGAAACGCTGGCACGCAAGTGCCTGTTACCTCTCTCTTGTCACTAACCCTAGCCAAGTATCTTTACTTGCGTAATTAGGGGTAGAGTGCACAGTTTCATATTTAGGGGTGTATTAACACCCTTTATTTTGTTCTAATTTAAAATTTTAAACATATATTTTTGAGAGAACATTATTCTGAATTTAAATAGGAATTTTTTACTCACTAATATAACATCCATTTAAAACTTTTAATGGAATTGTGATGTGGGTGACGAAATGCACATGTTGCTTCCCATCACTTCTTTAAACTTTGAGATGGTTAAATTTTGGTCACTAAACTTTGAAGAATGTCTTCAATTGCTCACTAAACCTTAAGCTGGTTGAGTTTTGACCACTACTTTTTGAAAGTCTTCTATTGCTCGCAATGAATTTGGATTCAAATAAAATTTATTGTTAAAATTTGGATTAAACCCGTGTTTGACCCCTATTAAAAATTATAATTTATTTTTCTCTCTCTTCACATTAATCACATATTTTTTCAATAAAATAATATTACACATAATCTCAAAACTTTTTCTTTTTTTATTCTTTTTTTTTTGAAACCACATTTTTAAAAAAATAATAATAATAAATAAAAAAAATTCCTATTTCAACAATTAAAATTTCAAATAATAGAGGCTAAAATTTGAACTCGAGCATTGCTTTGCAAAGGACGACGATTGTTGGAAGGGGTCGTTGCTTGTAACTGACCGATTAGGTTGGTTCTCTAAATATGGATTTGGAGACATAGATTCAAGCTTTGAGCGAGTGGTGCTTTCATTATGCAGTTCATTTAATTTAATTTTAATAACAAATTTAACATGTGTTTGTAGAAATTAAAATTTAGATTTTTATCAAATTCAAAATCAACAATTAATTTTAACCACGTATTTCATGAAGTTCACAACTTTTTGACTATATATTTTATCAATTTTTTTAAAAATCTATTAAAATTCTTATTTTAATTCCTATTAAACAGGGGCTTGTTGTGTATTTCGTTGTAATATTCAAATATCAAATTTTAGATTTCAATTAATTTTAATAATAAATTTATTGTATATTTTGTTGTAAAATTCAAATATTATGGTAGACAACGCTTGTAAAGCTTTACAAAGGAAGTGACTATTAATTACAACGAAATACACAATAATTTGTTATTAAAATTAATTTAATTTAATTTTAATAATGAATTTTAATTAAATTCAAAATTATTGTGAGGAATAGACTACGTTTTTCCAAAATTTAGTAGTCAGAGTTCAATCATCTCAAAGTTTAGTGGCCTAAATTCAACCTCCTCAAAGGTCGATGGGGAATAGAAACGTTTTTCAAAATCTATTGAGCAATCAAAGACATTTTTCAAAGTTTAGTGTCTAAATTCGACCATCTAAAAGTTTAGAGAGCAATAAAAGAAGATTTTTAAAGTTTAGTAAACAATCGAAGACGTTTTGCAAAGTTTAACGATCAAAATTCAACCATCTCAAAAGTTAACGACGCAACGAAACGCTGCATGTACATTCCATCAGCCACATTATCAATTTTGTTAGAGATTTTAAATCGATGTTATCAGTAGGACTGTTAATGGATTGAATTTTGATCCGAATCCGATGAAATTAACGTGAGATGGATTTAAGGTTTCAATCTGATAATCCGATTAAGATCCGAATTCGATAATCCGTTAACTAAATGAAGCAAATATGAATATATATCAATTCGATCCAATTTATTATAATAATATTATATATTTTATATATTATATCATAATTTATTAAACATAATTTTTTTCCATTTTGAAACTTCTTTATGCATAATTTTCAAATAATAAATAATATTAGATAATAGTATAATATTTTTACTTGAAATATTCAAAGAGGTTTAATTTTTTATTAATTAAAATAAGATAAAAATAATTATAGTAATTTGTTTTTATAACATCAAAAACTAATAATTAATATGTCCAAAAATAATTTACTTTATTAAAATTGATATTGTTTTTTATTTTAATTTTTTTAAGGCTATGATTTTTAGTGAAAATAAGAAAATAATCTAGTAAAAACTTATAATTGACAATTGAGTAGTATCCCACATTGAAAGACCACTAAAACATTAGAAGAAAAGTACCCTTTAAAAATGTAGTATCCCACTAGGAAGATTATTAAAACATTTCAAGAGAAATCTTTTTAAAAAGGAACTAAAGGAGCATCACTTGAATAAAAAATTGTTTTGGGCCTTCTCGTATATTAGGTGAGCCCATCAAGATAATTAAAATATTTTTTTTTGGAAAAAATTGGTGGAAAAAAATTCGGATCAGATTATCGAATCGGATATCCGATAATATAGCAAATCGAATATAGATTTAACAATCAAATATCCGTTGGATTATCGGATCGAAAAAATTTTCTTAACGGATCGAATTGGATTTGAACACATCTGCTCCATATCCGATTCATTGACAGCCCTAGTTATCAGTGGGCACCGTCCAACATTTTTCAAAATTTAATAGTCAAAACTCGATATTTTAAATTTCAGTAAATAATTGAAGACACATACATAAGTTTAGTGACCATTGGAACAATTAACTCTATACATCACAACTCATACACAAACAATACGAACACCATTTCAGTATTCCATCTCTCTAGTCAAATTTTGAAGCTTCCTGTTCGCTGCTATTAATCATTTTCACCATGTCTCAAACTTTAAAAAATAAATGTAACATGAAAGGAGGGGGGAAATTTGTCTTCTTAAGTTGGTCAAATATTTAAAAATACCATTCCCGTCAGTTGTAGTCATTAAAACAAGCTTAATTTCAGTTGCACCACAAAGCAGAACACAAAAGTTCGTTCCTAAAAAAATTTCAGCGCTTCAAATGAAACTGGGACACGCTGGTCCTTTAGACATACCTAAACGCACTTCCATTCCGTGATGCATGTCATCTGGACGGAATGATTCCGACTCCCTTGGATCTGAAAGACGATGCAAATCAACATGTAAGAATTGGTTTATATATAGGTTATATAACATAAATAATTAACATAGAAATAATGAACAAATTTAGAACAGAAGAGATCTGCAATTCATTAGTATTTTGTTACCGTTGAGGTAGTCTTGGAAACCAAAATCTTCGAGAGTTCCAGTCATGGCTTCCAACCCCAAAAATGAAGATGGTATAGCTCCAGGAGGCCTTTGAAATCTACAGAATTTCAAAGATGAAAAACGAAAATTTTAAAAACTCTACCCTAATACTTGCAGAGATTATGCAAGCACCAGAAACCCTTATATACAAGTAGTTAATGAGATGCATGATAATATCGCATAGTCCTCACAAGGAGCCAAACCAAATTTACAATCAGCACAAAAAATAAATGCTAGCAATTTTAATTTGCACAAAATAGGAACGCAACAAGGTATAGCCTTCTGATAGGATTCTACTATAAACAATAGGAAAAATTCAACAAGAGCAAGGGAATAGCTCTGTATTGATGGAATTTAAAGTAGAGCAATAAGGAAAAATAACGGATAGCCGTTTGAAAGGGCTACTACTCTCCTAAGCCCCTTTCACACACTTAATTACTTGCCTATTCCTTCCTATTTCCTTCTCTATTTATAAAATCCTTGCAACTGTTTTGTCCACCTCAGCCTTCCCAGCTAACAGAGTTTGGAGCTGCCCTCCCCTTCTCCAGTCTTCTTGATCCTTCTAGAATAGGTATACTTAATTGGGGGCCTATCAATTACCCCCCAATTCAGCCACCCTGTCCTCAAGGTGGAAAGTGGGAAATTGTTGAGTAATGAGACCAAATGGCTCCCAATTTGCTTCCATAGGAGATAACCCCTTCCATTTAATTAGCACCTCCAAGCCTTCAGCTATCCAAGCTTCGCAGTCCTTGCCGGCTTACCACTAAGACAGATTCTGGTTCCACAATCAACTCCCAGTCAGCACCAAGATGAGGAGGTAGCTGAGAGATTAAATGACGTCCCCAGAGACTTTTGCAACTATGATGCATCAAATACTGGGTGAATATATGTTTCGGGTGGCAGGGCTAACCGATCAGCAACCTTCCCAACCTTAGCCAACACCCAAAAGGGCCCATAGTACAGTGTCTCACTGATACAGTGTGCCAAAGACTTACGACGATAAGGTGCATTTTCAAATTAACGCTGAGAATTCTACTGCCCTTGTATGCTTATCAGCCGCGATTTTCATAAACTGTTGGGCTTGGAGTAAATCTATCTTAAGCTCCTCCAATAGCCTCTCCCTTTTAGCCATCAGCTGATCCAAGGAAGAAACAGCTGTGGTTCCCTTTTCAAAACGCAACAAGGGAAGAGGATCCCGCCCATATAAGATACGAAAATGAGTAAGCTGGTTGAACACATGAAATGAGGTGTTGTAAGAGGGTTCCATACCATAACCAGAATTGGAAACTAATTCCACCCAAAAAAGCTTAGATATGAGGAAAGGAAAAGAAGAGAGATGGGTTAATAAAGGAAATATCATTCACAACGAGATATCAGCCCAAGGCAGTTTGACCGAAGTGAAAAAGTGCAGATATGTCTCCATACCTTGGTTAACCACCTCCATTTGTCCATCTATATGCAGATTATAAGCTGAGGTATACTTCAGTTTAGTGCCCTTTTGTCAAAATAGCTCACTCCAAAATTTGCTTATGAACAACTTATCTCTGTCGGAGATTATAGAGCATGGTACCCCGTGCAACAGCACAACTTCACAGAAATTGCTGCTATAGAAGGCGCCATCATGCTTAAGGCCTATAAAATGGGCATATTTACTTACACGATCAACCACTAACAAAATTGAGTCAAGCCACTCTGATTTAGGCAACCCTTCTAAGAAATCCATGGTTAAATCAGAGATTAGAATGTGGAAACAAAGGCGTTAGGCATGGACTACAAACAGCTTTCTTCCCAGAGGAGTTGAC